AAGCCAGAGCCTAATGATGGCAGGAGGATCTTTACAGAGTTTTGCAGAGTGGTGGGCAGTAAGGGCATGGGGCAGTGCCTCTCAGTGCAGCCCCCAAACTCCCATCTCCCCAGTGCCTGGTCCCTTGATTAGGCAGAGTGCCTTTGAAAGAGGAACCTCACCACAGGAGGCCACAAGCAACAAGCACTCTGTTGTGGTCCCCATGTGTCATGACGCCACCCACCACTATGTTAATACCAGCAGCAGTTCGATACAACTCTTAAATTGGCATTAAATCCATACTTCAGGGACCCATTCACAGCAGTGCAGGAAGGCTGTCTTGGACTTAATCAGGATAGAGGCAAAAAGGTGGCAGTGTCTGCACCCACCAATTTCTTGGCTGATTAAATGCCCTTCTCACCTTGAAACATGCCACAGGGGAAGGCAATAAATACCACTCCCTAAGTCCAGTGCACCCTCGCTTATCCAGACTTCCTCAGACCCCACCAAATTCTGAAATTTCGTGGTGTCCAGACAACATTCATTCCTAACCCAGGCCTCAAATGTTTTCAGCCACCAAAACAATGTCTTTTGTACAAACTTTAAATACATATACATAGAATGGGTATCTGACATATCTTGCAGTCCATTTAGATCTTATCAATCTTTGAGCAGAACAAAATAAACAGAATCAGTAAAACACCATCACTTTTCTGATACCATAATCATTATTCTCTATTTTGAGAACAGTAAATACCACAGTAACCGTGGCATCTTTTTCTACAAAATACCAAACTATTTTAATGCAATAAAATCTTAAGAGTGTTGCCATCGGTTAGGCCCACCGTATTTAGGACTGCTCATTTTCAGCCTTAAAGTCTGTAACATTGCTCCTAGTTATGCAGGAACTACAACCCCAACTAATAGAGGGATCTGAAGGACAACTTGAGAAGAGAAACATCATGAATGATTAACATGAATTTAAAAAGGAAACTTTCTGTTTGACTAACTTTACTGACCTTTTTGAGGAGGTAGAGAGTGATAATGTAGTAGATATAATTTATCTGGATCATCAAAAGCCCTTTAATATGGTGTCCCATAATAGACTTATGAATGAGGTCAGACAATGTGAAGTTGAAGCACAACCAGCAGGGTGGATTGTCAAATGGCTTTGAGACAGAAAGCAGAAAGCGGGAGGAAAGGGCAGTTATTCAAACCACCAGAGATAGGGAAATAGCGTTTCACAAAGATCAGTGCTGGGATCACTGACATTAACGTTTTACATTAACTTACATTAACATTCAAAGTTTTGGCAAAGATCTGTAGCTCGGGTTTACATTAACATACAAACACAATTTCCAAATTTGCAGAGAT